ATGCTGCAGAATTCCGCCCCAAAACATGTAATGACACACACCCTACCACTTACAATCTGGTACCTTGAAACAGTCGGGTGCTTCCTCAAGTATAAACTTTAACCTTTTGCAGCTGAAACTTGTGAAAATAATATAAAAAAATAAACTTTCTTTTTCTAACAAAAAACAGCCTCCTCAACCGGTGAATGCTCTTTAGCGAAATTATCAATGCTTACTGTCAGAATGATAGAAAGCAGAAACATTATACTCTGTGGCCAAATGGCACTATCACTGAACGCTCTTTGTGGTACACTTTATTACCACTGTGTTTCAAAGGCGTTATGCAATCGTATATTACCTACGATAGATGTGACAGACAGTAGGAGTGTCCCAAGTTACATCTGTCATTTCCATACGGTTATCTCTGCACGAATATCATAAAATGTAAATGTTATGCATTGATGGAATTTCTATAAAAATCCATATTATACTGGACCAAACTGTATCCTTGTACTTTAAATACATGCTCAAAAGCTGTCATTACAATAAAAAAGTCATTCAAATTCTGAATGAAAGTTCTGTAACAAGTGAATAATAAATCGGGCATGTGAATTCTTGCAAAGCAGAAGCAGGCTCCTGACCAGCACATCAACATCCAGTCACAATCCCTGCAAGATTTCAACACTGGTATAGTGAAGATAGTTTCAACAAATGTTCTCAAACAAAATGAACAACAGCAAGACCAGCAAAGAACATTCACATAGAAGACACACTGCACCTTAAATTCCTTGCATGTGTGGCAAGGTCTGTGTTGGAAGAGCTGGCAAACCAATCAAAAGAAAACACAAGATACACACACAGATTTCAAACTCGGCGTAACATTTGGGCTGTGGGGCTTCCATAAAAATAAAACTGTAACAGGCACAGTACCTTCGCCCTCAGTCGGTACCTGGCGACTAACGCACTCAAGCAGTACGCGTCACAGCCAAAATTTTATCTATGAAATCTTCCACATTCAAGTCTTCACTTTGCACAAATCCAGAATACACCTTGGCCAGATATAGTTTATAAGATTTGTATCACTGTGAAACACCAGTGTTATTAAGATCTGAGCTTGGTATGTTCCCTTCAGAACATTCACTCCTATATGAAGTTTATAAACTTGACCAAGAGAATTACATGAGCATGAATTACAGAATAATAGCCAAACTGATTTCAAGAAATTCTCTTTCATATTTTATACAATAATAACGAAGACATCACAGTTAAACAACTTTTCTTTTACAACTATAACCAAAAAAGTTAACAGATTTCAAGAATTTCCCTTTCCCACCTGTTGTATTGATTATCAGGGCTAATGAAGGGTAGAAGATGCATAAATAATAAAAAAAAAGAGCTAATCCAAACTATTTTGTTTGGTGCATTCACAGAACTTCACAAACTGCTTAACGTTCCTCACACAACAGACCTTCTTTAAGAAACAGTTTGTAATGCTCACTTGTTCTGAAAACTCTTTAGACTCTCCCTCATGACAGCATGAACTTCACTCTCATTTGTCTCATGGCAGCACTGACTATGTCCACTTCACACGCACCACTTTGAAGCCATTTTTCAGTTCACTGTCAATCTTTTCAAAACTTCTCATAGCAC